AGTATCAAATTACAAGGTGTAGGTATCTAATAATTGTCTTAAAATGTATAATTATGTAGATTCAGAGCCTAAACGAGTTCCGGAATCATTGACAAGTAAGATCGATAAAAAGGGGAAGATAAGAGATTGGAATGGACTAGTGAGGCCAGGTGAGTGCATATTAGTATTATATGATGTTAAATGGAAATAAGACTTGCGACAAGTCTATTTCCATAGTAAAATGCATGAATTCATAAATAGAAGTATATATGTGTATGATTTATATGTGTTGACATGTTATTGTATATATGTATTATATGGTTGATATGAATATGTGATTATGAATAGGTAGAAAGGAAACAAATGATGATATAAGAATCTATTATAAGATATATGATATGAAAATATGATATGAGCTATGTGAGATATGAATATAAAATCATATGAGAAGTGAAAAGAATTACATGAAAATAGACTAAGTGATTACATGTATATGTGAAAGAAGCTATGAGCTTATATGAATATGTGATATGAATGAAGCTATATGATACGATCTATGTGATTACATGCACATATGATATATGTTATATGAAATGACATATGAATAGGCAATACGTGATACATGTGATATGATATGGAATACATGGTTACACATACATGTGGTATGTGACAGAAGAGAAATGACAAGTAATGTGAACTCTTAAATGATAATGCCCATGTTATGTGATATGAGAGCTAGGGTATAGTTGGCATGCCAAGGGTCGAGGGTTTACCTATGTTCTTCGGGACATATGGACTGTTTACCTATGTTCTTCGGGACATATGGACTGTTTACCTATGTTCTTCGGGACATATGGACTGTTTACCTATGTTCTTCGGGACATATGGATTGTTTACCTATGTTCTTCGGGACATATGGACTGATTACCTAGGTTCTTCAGAATCTATGGACTGGTCCTTCGGGACATTGATCGAGCTGTGGTGACAGCATATGTGTGCACAACCTCAATGTACTCACATACCTTAAGTTCTCACTAGTGTACATGGGCTAATAAAGTGATTAAACAAGCATACTGAATGTGATATGTATACGATGGGTTTATAAATGGTTATCAAAGGTAAGTGGTTTGAAATGTGTTACATGAACCATATGATGTTATGTGTGTTTCTTAATGATAATGATAGAGATTATGATAATGATGGTATATGTTTATGTATGCTTTATGTTATATGAAATATTATATGTTTTATATGCCTCACTAAGTCATCGACTTAGCGTGTGATTGTTTCACACGTAGGTTTGAAAAGCGAAAAGAAAAGTAAAGAGGAACAAGACAGGTCAGTTACTTCTTACCGAAGATCAGATCAGAAAAGATCTCTTGAATTAGATGTATTCTGTACATTGAAAATAGTTGGCATGTAATTAATGTTTTTGAATTGTATATGCTCTGATTGGTTTTGTCAAGAACATTTAAGCTCTGAATAGTTCTGGAAATATTTTGAATAAGTTATATGTACAAAAGTTTTAAATTACTCACTATTTTATACGAATAAAATTTTGAAAAGTCAATGTGACACTTCGGACTCGTATCCTGGTTAGATACGGGTTGGGGGTGTTACATGTGGACTGGTAAACCAGCTGATTATTCAAACCTCCATGTATTTGAAAGTATTGTGTACGTGATGTACAACTCCCAAGAAATTTCAAAGCTGGATTCAAAATCCAGGAAATGCAAATTCTTGAAGTATGCTGATGATGTAAAAGGGTATCGCTTATGGAATCTCACTGCCCGCAAAGTGATCATCAGTAGGGATGTTATCTTTTTAGAAGATAAACTACAAAGAAAAGAAGATGATGATAGCGTTGAAAAGTGAGAGACTACACAGATACATGTGGAAAAGGAGGTTGAACAAGGAGATTCTTCTGAAGCAGAACCAGCACATGATGAACAAGAACCAGAGAGTTCTGAAGCTCCAACAACTCGTCAATCAGATCGTATGAGAAGACGTCCCAATTGACACTCAGATTATGTTATAGAAGGTAATATTGCATACTGCTTTTTAACAGAGAACGGTGAGCCATCAACATACCATGAGGCAATAAACAACTCAGATGCTTCACTGTGGATGATGGCGATGCAAGAGGAAATTCAAGCCCTTCATAAAAATAATACATGGGACCTTGTGTCACTACCACAAGGAAGGAAGCCAATTGGTAACAAATGGGTCTTCAAAATCAAGTGAAATGGTGACGATCAAGTTGAGAGGTATCGTGCAAGACTGGTGGTTAAATGATATGCTCAAAAAGAAGGTATTGATTTCAATGAAATATTTTCTCCTATGGTTCGACTAACAACAATTCGACTAGTTTTGGCAATGTGTGGTACATTGGAGTTACATCTAGAGCAGCTAGATGTTAAAACAATTTTTCTTCATGGAAATCTTGAAGAAGAAATTTATATGCTCCAGCCTGAAGGTTTTGAAGAAAAAGAAAAGAACTTGGTTTGTAGGTTGAACAAATCTTTGCACGGTCTAAAGCAGGCGCCGAGGTGTTGGTATAAGAGATTTGATTCCTTCATTATGTGCTTTGGATATAACAGACTTAATGTAGACCCTTATGCTTATTTCAAGAGGTCTGGTGATAACGAATTTGTTATATTGTTGTTGTATGTGGATGATATGTTGGTTGCAGGACCCAACATAGATCATAATGAATAATTGAAGGCACAACTGGCTAGGGAATTTGAAATGAAGGACTTGGGATCAGCAAACAAGATTCTAGGGATGCAAATTCACCGAGACAGAAGTAATAGGAAGATTTTCCTTTCACAAAAGAATTACTTGAAGAAGATCTTGTCACGATTCAGCATGCAAGATTGTAAGCCAATTTCTACCCCTCTTCCTATTAACTTCAAATTATCCTCCAGTATGAGTCCTAGCAGTGAAGAAGAGAGGATGGAGATGTCTCGAGTACCGTATGCATCAGCAGTGGGAAGTTTAATATTCGCTATGATATGCACAAGACCAGACATTGCACAAGCAGTGGGAGTGGTTAGTCGATACATAGCGAATCCAGGCAAAGAGTATTGGAATATAGTAAAGAGGGTTTTGAGATACATCAAAGGGACCTCAAATATTGCATTATGTTACGGATGATCAAATTTACTTATCAATGGGTATGTTGATTCTGACTATGCAGGGGATTTGGATAAAAGCAAATCTACTACAGGATATATGTTCAAAATTGTTGGTGGAGCTGTAAGCTGGGTTTCAAAATTGCAGTCAGTTGTGGCTACGTCGACAACAGAAGCAGAATATGTAGCAGCTACACAAGCCAGTAAAGAAGCAATTTGGTTGAAGATACTATTGGAGGAGCTTGGGCACAATCAAGAATATGTCTCTCTATTTTGTGACAGTCGAAGCGCCTTGCATCTAGCAAGGAATCCAACATTTCATTCAATGACAAAGCACATACTAGTTCAGTACCATTTCATTCGTGAAAAAGGTGGAAGAAGGAACAGTAGATATGCAGAAAATTCATACCAAAGACAACATAGCAGATTTCATGACGGATGCGATCAATGCTGATAAATTTACTTGGTGTCGATCCTCTTGTGGCCTGTCAGAGACGTAAGCAACATGAAGGTACAAGGTAGAAAGAATGGTGTGAAGATATGACTGTTCCAATCAAATCTTCAAGTGGGAGATTGTTGAAAAGTCAAGCTAGGTGGTGCACATGGCACCGAAAGTGCACAATTAATGGCACCGAAAATTAGCTAGCATTTGTTGAATTTTTTGGAAAATGGTAAAATCATTTTTAGTCACTAAATTTAGGGTATTTACAAATTAGTCCTTAAGCTACAACTATAAATACCCTAGCTCATTTAGCTTCAAAACCATCCCAAAGCATTCTAGCTTTCTTCCAATACTAGAGAATTTAGAGAGTTTCTTGAGAGTTGTTTTCTCCTTTTTATCAAGAGAGAATTATCATTGTTTTCTCCTTGGTAGATCGAGAGAAGTTATAATTCCTATTTTCTCATAGTGAAATTCTTCTACCGTTGCCTGTGGTTTTTACCCTATATTATTTAGGGGCTTTCCATGTAAATTTTGTGTCTATTTTATCTTTATTTTTATTTTCTCAAATTATCAGTTTTGATTTTACTCTATCCGATAGCCGTCTTCCGCAACAATCGGGAGTGATGTTAATCCTCTCATCCGGCAGTACACTCCATTTTTGAACGGTCCAGTTTCTGCAATACAGTGATGGTGGTTCAGATAGGAAGTCGAAATGGCTGCCGCTATGTAGATGAAGAATTGTTCTACACGAGGTTTAGTTTGCGTTAGTATGTTTGAGGTTTAATTCTATGCTCAAACCATGTACTTCTCGAACATTTAGATTTAGTCCTTTAAAAAAAGTCACTGGATTTTAGTTTTTTTTTATAATTGAAGATCGATTGATAATTTTGTTTATGGATTTTCATTAAATTGCATTATGTGGTATCTTAGTTCCTCTTGATACAATCACATTATTCTGACCCTTAATTTTTGTTATGATTGATTGAAGATTTATCGAATGAAATCTTGATTTTTTTTTCAGTTTTTGAGTTTAAATACGCATATTAGTTCTCGTCAACTTTAATATTAGACAAATTGACTCTAATTAAAAAAAAAATAGTTATGGTGTTATCAATTAAGTTTTAATTATATTAAAAGTTTTAGCAAAAAATGAAGTATTAGATTTTTAAATAATATCTAAATTTTCTTTATAAAATAAAGTAAATTAAATTGAAATAGTTGTCCTCATAATTAGTTTTTGTCATGCTCGAATTTAAATTAGTCAATTAATATATTATATATTTATAATAAAAAATTACATTTTTATTATTAAATCAAAAGAATGAAGATACTAAATTCTTGGAATAAAAAAAGGACTAAAAATCAATTATGGGAAGAATAGATGAACCTAGAGAATAATTAGACATTCATAATGAAAATTTCAGACCCAACAGCAAGAAATAAAAGATAAGGGAATCCATTGGAACACTCTCATATCCAACAAAACCACACACAAAAAAGGAAAATGGCTGAAACCGAAGCTCAAGTCCGTTTCGGCATCATCGGATGCGGAAACATAGCGAGAAAGCTCGCAAGAGCCATTAACTTAGCCCCGAACTCCGTCCTCCACGCCGTCGGCAGCCGCTCCATCGAAAAAGCAAAGCGATTCGTTAGTATTAACGGATTGGATCATCAAAGGGTCAAGATTTATGGGAGCTACGAGCAAGTGGTGGAGGACCCATCGGTGGATGCAGTGTACATGCCGTTGCCGACTAGCTTGCACGTTCAATGGGCGGTCATGGCCGCCCGAAACGGCAAGCATGTGCTGGTCGAGAAACCAACGGCTCTTGATGTGGGTGAGCTTGATAGAATAGTTGGAGCTTGTGAATCCAACGGCGTGCAGTTCATGGATGGGTCCATGTGGCTGCACCATCCTAGGACTGCTCAAATGAAGGAGATGCTCTTTGATTCCAAGCTTTTGGGAGATGTCAATTATGTAAGTGTTCAAAATTATAATGCTTATTTATTTATTTATTTATTATTTGGTTATAAATAACATTATTTAATTAGAGTTGAACAACAAAAATCGAGTAATCAAAAACTATATGAATTATAGGATTCGAATTGTGACGGTTAATTAACAATAAATGTCAGTATATATAGTATACATTTCCTTATAGTTTTCAAAATATATCAGTATAGACTTGTTTTAGTGATGGAATCTAACCGTCGGTAAAAACAATACAACAAGTTGTTTGTAGTGTCGGATCTACTGATTCTTGTTATAGAATTTGATGCTCTTCGTTTTCAGATTTACAGCACATCTACGACTTCACCGTCCCCGGAGTTCTTCGAGAACGACATAAGAGTGAAAGGAAATCTGGATGCCCTAGGAGCCCTCGGTGATCTTGGCTGGTACTGCCTTGGAGCTGTTTTATGGGCCAAAAACTATCAGCTACCAACCGTCGTCACTGCTCTACCGGACGTCACTAAAAACTCCAATGGAGTCATCATCTCCTGCTCGGCTTCCATTCAGTATAAGGAACCATCAGCAGTAGGAGCCACAACAAATGCAATCATCCACTGCTCTTTCCTCTCCGACACATCCATGGACTTGGCCATAACCGGTTCCGGAGGATCGTTGAATCTTAACGACTTCATCATTCCGCATCGAGAGAGTTCCGCTTCATTCGAGTTCACAAAGGGTGCGAAATTCGTGGATCTCCACATCGGGTGGAACGTGAAACCTGAAAAAGTTGTGGTGAATTGTGAGCTTCCGCAGGAGGCTTTGATGGTTAAGGAGTTCGCGAGGCTTGTTGTCGGGGTTAGAACGTCGGCATTGCTGCCGGATCGCAAGTGGCCGGAGATTAGTAGGAAGACTCAGATGCTGGTGGATGCTGTGAAGAAATCTATTGAGCTTGGTTGCGAGCCTGTTTATCTCTAAGTGATATGTATACCACTAAATTTGATACTGAAATATTAAAAGTTAAATTTAAATCATTAATTTATTTGTTATTTTATTTAAAACTAAATGTATATTGCCTCAATAATTATAAAATTTTAATAATAATATAATTAAGAAGAAGAAGAAAAACACATCATTCACGTTAGTTTCGAAATTCTCATTTTCTGTCATTTCGCTCCCCAGTGGAGCACGAAGAACCTTGAAACGGTGAGTCCTCTCACCGCAGCTCCAAAAAATCTAAACTTTCTTTCAATTTCGTAACGGAATACGAAATACGAGATGAGTTCTCTCACCACCAGCCACCTATCTAGTTTCGGTAGCTGCCCTGGATCGATTCTTGCCGCCCAGCGCCAGTTTCTCCGGCAACCTGATATCTTTTACTTTAATACCCTCCGTGACGGAATAACGGCGTCGCGGATGGTTATACAGGACTTCGTCAACGCTGTCCACATCGACAAGATTTCTCTCGTCGATAACGCCACCACCGCCGCTGCCATCGTCCTCCAACAGATCGGTCGTAGTTTTTCCGAGGGAAAGTTCGAGAAAAGCGACATTGTTTTAATGCTGCACTACGCTTTTCAAGCCATTAAGAAATGAATCCAAGCTTACGTGACGCACGTTGGTGGCTCCATCGTCGAGGTGCGGCTACCGTTTCCTGTAAATTTGGAGGAAGAAATCATTTCTGACTTCTGAGTTCAAAAAATCAAATCGAACGGTAGATAAGGTTAGCGATTATTGATCATATTACATCAATGCATCTGTTGTTATTCCTATAAAAGAACTAGTTAGGGTTTGTAGAGAGAAAGGAATAGAGCAGGTTTTCGTAGATGTTGCTCATGCGATTGGGAGCTTGAAAGTATACGTTAAAGAAATTGGAGCTGATTTTTATGTTAGCAACTTACATAAATGGTTTTTTTCCCGCCTTCTATAGCATTTTTGTATTGTAAGAAATCAAATGTATCATCTGATGTGCATCACCCTGTTGTTTCACATGAATATGGGAATGGATACCCATTGAGAGCTCATGGATTGGGACTAGGGATTAAAGTTTTCAGCTAGTGATTCCCACAGTTTTAGAGTTTGTGGATCGGTTTGAAGGAGGGATCGATGGGATAATGAAAATGAACCACGAACAAATGGTGAAGATGGGGAAGATGTTGGCAGAGTCTTGGGGGATAAATCTAGGGTCGCCTCAGGAGATGTGTGCATCAATGATTATGATTGGTTTGCCTTCAAGATTGAGTCTTAATAGTGACGAAGATGCTGTGAGGTTAAGGTCACATCTAAGGGATTGTCATGGGGTTGAAGTTCCGGTCTTTTATCAAGTTCCAAAGGATGGGGAGGACAGTGTTAGGGATGAAGATGGACATATTACAAGATATGTGAGAATCTCTCATCAAGTTTATAATACATTGGATGATTACGAGAAATTGCGGGATGCTATTAATCGGATAGTTGAGAACGAGAAAACTTGCGAAATGCTTTGTATAGAATGAAGAGGTAATGTTCCTTGATTTTGTCGCTCACTTGACTTGTTTGCTGGAGTGATTGTTGCTACCCTTTACGAATATTTCAAACCTATATAATGTTGAAACATAAGACCCAATTAGTATATCTTGTTATTGATTTATTGTGTTCCTGCAGAAAGCGAATCCTATGCTCTAACTCTAATCACTAGGGAAAGAAACAATATTTATATTTCTTCAATGCCACGATATGGATCCTATGTGAAATCCTTTCCCTGCAAGATTTTTTTTCATGTCGATATGAATGCCTTTTTCAAAAGTTTAGTTTGCGTACTGCTTGTGTTTATGCTTAATAGTTCCGGAAACCATTATAGATGAGGTGAAAGGGAGAGGGATAACGAGAACGGGGACAATTGATGGGAACATAACCTGATCTATAGACTATGCTTTATATGCAATATCATCTTAAACACAAATCTTCCATCAATGTTGGTTGCAATTTTTAGATTTGTATGAAATTTATTTCGAACCGGAAGATTATTGTATGCCTTAATTTTTTTGTATTTAATCTTGGCAGATGGTCATAGAAGATTGGAGCAGCCTTCAATGGTCTGTGTTTTGCCAGTTCTCAGATGCATGCTGCTTCTCATGGTTGTATTTGCCTTTTGAAACACTTAAAAAACCATTAACCATTGTAGTCTGACAATAATGATATTAAATATTCCTGATGTTTTGATACATAAGTTAGCAATAAACTAACTTCACTCATTAACCTCTTGCTATTGATGAATACGTCTTCTACCACTTTTTTAAATTTAATTTTTAAAAAAATATTTTTAAAACTTACAAAATTAAACTGAAAGAACTATTATTTTTTAAGGGGTTAGGGGTTTTCTCATATTTGAAATGTTTGTTTGAAAATTCGTATAGTGAGAAGTATTCTTTCAAAAAGATGAATAATATACCTTCAAACTAATCTCGGACAGTCGTTAAAGAAGATTGATGTATTAGAACGTCGAATCTTTAGGTTAAATTCTATTGATTTTGAGTAAGCTTTGTGAAAAAACAATTTGAGGAAAAGAGAAAAATAGAATGCAAATGTTTTAGTATTAATTTTATTATGAATGATGATCACGATGGACGACGATTAATCAATAATGATAGTTGAAGTAGAATAAAAATGATACATAAATCAAAGTTAATGTTTAAAAAAGAAAGTATCTTGAAATTTAGTGATAAAATTACTATATAGAGTAAAAATTAAGGGAAAGAACATTAATGATTTTATGACCTAATGTTTTAATTAATATCAAAATTAAAATTTCATTGAAATTAAAAAATTTAAAATTCAATGTAAAATAATATAATTTTTAAAATTAAAGGATATTTGATAAAATTTATCAAGGCATAGTTGTTAATTTTAATGAGTAGTAATTTAATTGACGTCAACGTTCTAAGTTGGGGTGGATTTAGATGACAAGATGTCACGTTCTTTTAATAAAAATAAGTTAATTGTACAAGTGAATCTTCACTTCTATTGATTTCCATAAATTAATTACCAGAATTAAAAATAAATCATTGCATCATTTAATTAAAATATTCGTTATTAACACATATCTCCTTCTATTTTCCTTTTTCAAAACTAGGTTTTATAATAATATGCAATCAATGAATTACTTTATTTTTTATATAGAATTTCTTTTATTATCTGCTTTATTTTTAATAAATTTGGTCAAATTCTAAAAGTACCCTATTTATTTCTCCATTGCATTCAAATGTTATCGTATATGGTTATATTCTGTTTTAAATTTAAGTATATTTAGATCATCGGTTCAGTTTCATACTATAACTAAAGATTATAATTCTAATTATTTGAATATATTGCATTATAATTACAATTATACTTATAATTTAATAAAAATATTACATGTATTTAAAAAGTGATCCAAATCATGCAAACGATTTACACAAACTGAGTATTTTTCATATTTTTATATAGAATTTAAATAACTTAAAATCAGTATGTGAGATTTAAAAAAAACAATTTAAAACAAATATTTGGGAAATCCAGTGTCCAAAAATATAAAAAGTATACATATATTTTTAAAATTTTTATTTATTTTTATCAAATTGACCCATAAAATAGAAACAACTAAACTGATGTTAATTTATTTTTTTATGATATTGGAATATTTAAAAGGGAATAAAAACAATTATTTTATAACTTTTTTGGATATAAGATGATAAAATAGTTGCAGTCAATTAGAACTAATAGTTTGAGGTGAAAAAAACCTAATAGTTTAGGGGTTAAATAATTAAATCAGTAAAAATGAAGGGTTAAAAAGGTTATTATGTCATAAATATGTGTAGGCGCATTCTCTTATGGAAGCTTTGGAAACACAAAGTCGGATCAAATCAAGTTAAATCAGGAGGTGTAGTGATTTTGAATTTGTGTGGAGTTGAGCTCTGGAATTTGAAAATGGCAGACGAATCGTCGCATTCAATCAAGTTGATGAACTTCGTCTCCGAGCAACAGGTAGCTTTATTTTACCAATTTCTCACCCACTCCATTACTAAACCCTAATTCGTTTTCGTTGATTATGATCAAAATCTCGTTGTTTGTTGTTGATTATTGCCTGGATTCGATAATTACGGCAGTTAGATGAAGCTAAAAGATCTAGAGGTGAACGGATTGAAGATGGCACTGCTCAGAGGGATAGGCCCTTGTACGAGGTTTTTTTTTTTTGCCCTGATAAATTTGCTCTTTTTTTCTTTTATTTTCATTTTCTCCAATGAAGCTCAAACAATTAATCGTTTTCTCTCTCTTTTTTTTTTTTTCTCTAAACCTTTTAAATGCAGATTTTGAAGGAAAATAAAGACAAGAAAGACGCAGAGTTTAATGAACGGTTTAAACATAGTGAGTGTTTTAACTTTCAGATTGTTGTTATTTGATGATGTAACTGTCTATGAGCTAAACCTTTGAACATTTTCTTCATTTGCAGGGCCACCCAAAGCTCTGGATGAAGACGAAACTGAGTTTCTTGATAAGTTGGAGACGGTGAGCACTACTTTAATTAATACAATGGAAGCTGTTGGAATTAGATAAATATGTTTGTTCTCTTTTGCAGTGATTGCAGATTGTTTTTCTCCTTTTGGTTGTGTAGTATGTAATCTTTATATTTATCAGAATGCCGAAAAAATTGATAGTTTCACCAAGTATAAGAGGCTTACAATGTGTGCATTCGTGTACTCCCACACACACACACATGTGCATGTTCACACATCTAAATATTCTATTAGGTGCTACCATTCCTGAATAGTTGAGTGTTCTTTTGTTATGCTTTTCAATTTCTGATTTTCTTTTTCTTGTTAATGTAGTCGAGAAGGGAATATGAACGTCAAGTAGCAGATGAGGAAGCTGAACAGTTGCAAAGTTTCCAAGTAATTTTCTACCCAGTAACCAGTGACATTTGTGATTTATCGCTATGAAAATAGTATTGAAAAAGAAGTATCTGCAACCATGTTGTGCTCGACTGATTTGGCCTTTACCTCCACCATAGTAATAATTTGAAGTCCGTTGTTCTATTTTGAGTTATCAGTTGCATATCTTAATTTTAATGGTAGAACTGCCTATTTATGATTATTTTTAATTTTCAAGAATAATTGTTTGTTTAAGGTGCTAAGTTGTAGTTTTTGATAATTACAAAGGGTAGTATATTATTAGTTTTCTAAGAGCTCTTACTATAGCACCAGTCTGCTGCTACTATCTTGCTAGATAAAATGTTTCTTGAGCAGCGTTTGAATGGTTGTGTTACTTGTTTAGCTAGCCATATGGATGTTTGTAAAACCATTTCCTATGCTGTTTTACTTTTCATTTCATCGGTGACACTGGTGTTTGTTTCCTTTCCAGGCAGCTGTTGCAGCACAGTCGAATATCGTGCTTGAAGTAAAAGAAACGCCACCTGTTCCTGCAAGCCAGGTTGGTTTCAGATCAATTAGTAACATGGTTGCACTTTTTATAAGGAACTTTATGGTTTGGAGTTGGACCATAACCATACCTTGAATTGACTGAGCTTTTATCATGCCATATGGTTTGGTAATTAGTTTTGGCATATTTTCGGATTTAATTTCCATGTAATCTAGTTGATTGCGTCCTTTGTTTCCTATGACATTAAGTTGATTACTTTTTGCATATTTGCTCGAAATAAATAACCATAGTGTATCTTCTGATTGATTGATCACCTAGTGAAACCGGTAACAATGGAGGCCCGTAACCAAGTGATTAGCCTCTGCAGCTTTTAATCGGATCTTGTTTCTGCTTGCAGGAGCAAAAAGCAACCGGGAAGAAGCATCCAGCGTCTCAGCCTCTAGGCATGATCATAAAAGTGAAGCCACAGGCAAAAAGGGCAAAAACCGAGCACGGGGAAAAACTAGCAAGTGCAATGAAAGCATCCGGTGCCGATAATGTGAAACCACCCGAAGGTGATCCCGATAGGTCTCTTAATGTTGCCAAGACAGGTCTTGTTTCATACAGTGATGAAAGTGAAGATGATGATTAGGAACTAAGCATGCCAATCTTGTAAATCGTATCTAAGACTAATGGTTTTAAATCCAAATTATTATACACCGAGTTGGTATTATTAGTTAATCAAATGTTAATTTAGTTGGAAGATGAAAGTGAATGATGTTTTTAGCCCTTTAACTTTTTTGATTTAACCATTTTAGTTCTTAATTTTTTTATTATTACTTCTCTTTTCATCCTAACTTTTGTTGTCAAATTGACCCAAAGACAAAATAGAAACGTGGCATTAATTTGATGTTAGTTATTTTATTTTTCTTATTGTGTAATAAGACGTTAATTTTTTTATTGTTGTTATGTGCACGTAATGAGTTTTAATAAAAAAATTGTTTTATACTAATGAGTTTTAATAAAAAATTATTTGTATAAAATCCATAATGTTCATGTGATGAGTTTTTAATCTATTGTAACAAATGTCATATATCTTTGAATAATTTTTTACCAGACATATTTTCTTAATGTTTTTCTTCCCATAATATTGCCCTAGTTTTATTCATAAACACCTCTATATCAAATACTCTTCCCTCTATTTTTCTTTTTCTCTCAACGAAAGCATAGGGTTAAGGTTTGATTTGTTTAGGCCTTTGGGCTTTAGCACCTAAAAGCACAAAAGCACAGAGCCACGGAACAAATGCACAAAGCTTCGAAGGCTGGATTGCACGCCTATCACTCGCCTATCACTCGCCATTAGGGGTGTGTAAATCCGGTACTTGAATTTTCGGATATCCAATTTTCGGGTATCGAAATTTTTGGGTCGACGATTTTTCGGCCCGTGTCTCGACCCGGATATTACGGGTACCCGGTAATCGAGTATCCATATTTTGTGGGTACCCGGTAATCGGGTACCCGATATCCGGTTTTTAATTTTTTATTTTTAAATTATTAATTTAAAAAAATATATACACAAATTTAAATGTTTGAAATTTCGAATTACATACTCTAATATCCGAACATAAAATTTAAAAGTTCAAAATACAAAATATAATAATTTATAATATAAATAATTCATTATATTTTATATAATTATATATAAGGGTACTAGAGTAACTGGATACCCGAAAAAATTAGATTTTGTGACCCGGGCTCGACTCGGAAAATGTCGGGCCGGGTACCCGACCCAGTCAGGTAAATTTTTTTAAAAAATTATCCAAATTTTTTAGATCCGGATCGACGGATCAACCGAATCGGTAATTTTGCACACCCCTCCTCTCCATTGTACGGTTTACACCATTTTACTCTTTCAGTTTTGCTCTAATTTTACGTTCACTTTACACGCAAAAGGAGGGGAAGGGGGGGAACAAAGGAACGAAACAAACAAGGAAGAAACAAACGTGGTTCCAAAAATCTCAACGGGCATGGCCTCAACCGAGAGCTCCAGATCTTCAACTGCGGGGTCTCCTGATTCATATATAGGCAGCTTGATAAGCTTGACGTCTAAGTCTGAAATCAGATATGAAGGCGTTCTGTTTAATATCAACACCAAAGAATCCAGCATCGGCCTGAGAAATGGTAAAGAAATTTTTAAAAATAACTTTCAATTTTTTTCTGGATTTTATTTAAACTTTCTTTGGGGTTGTTATTTTTTTATTTTTAATATTTGAGTTCTTTAGTGGATTTTACTTTGTGGGTTTTCTTCGTTAAGGTGAAATATTGTCTTGACTTGTTAATGTGAGGTTTGATTTTGGGATGCTTTGAACAGTTTCGCTTGTTTATTTATTTTGTTGGGTTATTGGGTGTTATAAATGTTTGCAAGTGAGATGATTGTTGAATGTTTAAACATCTGGTGTTAGTTGAGCAAGTCACTAGACTAAATACCCAGAGGCCTGGATTGTAGAAAACAAAGTCAAATCGAGAGATGTATATAGTGATAATAGCTGATAATTTGTTTTCTGACGAACTTTCAAACATCTGTTGCATATCTCAACTTGTAGGACCTATAAATGTAAATAATTATTCATAATGTTGGATGCCAACTAAAAAATTAATACACATCACAGTATTTCCTGTATTCTTAACATAACATCTGTATAACACATTACAGTTTTACATTTTACTTCTCTCTACATTTTACTATGTACTGGATTGCTGCAATAGTAAGAATATGGAAAGTGAAAATTGTGGCTTACCCTAGAAAAGAATCTGTTATGAAATGTAGGCATCTATATAATATCGCCTCATTCATACTAGAGAGGAGTATGGCTGTCAGGGCTTCAAATGTTAGTCTTGCTGCTTCGAATGTTATTGCCGTGCTTGTGGACTGTGGTTAAGAAAGACCTAGTCTATGTTTTAGGGACTCTTCTTGTACCTTTGGGGTTTTAAGATGCAACTATGTCCTTCTTCTAAATAACGTTTGTTCCTTTAAAATTGCAGTAAGGTCATTTGGGACGGAAGGGCGAAAAAAAGAAGCTCCACAAGTTCCAGCAAGTGATAAAATTTATGAGTATATACTCTTCCGTGGCAGTGATATCAAGGTATTCCAAATATTATTTGAACTAATGTACATTACTAGAGCTATTATCTACCTTTTCAATTATGAAGTTTTGCTTTCCACAATACATTATGGACAAATAATTGGACTCTGAATTTGAATTTTGGTTGTAGAAGACTGTTTCTGAGGAAATGTTGAATTGCTGTAGAGTAGTGAAGGCTTTTATGTGATTGCAAATGTCTTTTGCTTCAGTTATGGTGTTCATAAGTTGTTTATTTACTATCTAGATATGGGCCAAGCGAGGCTAGAAGATGCAGAAGTTGTTTTGCTGCTTGATCACCCTTCTTCGATTGCTTGTAAATTTGTTAGAATTTCCTTTTGGTCCATTCTGAAATACTTACAGTGTTTTTCTTGGTGTTTTAATTCATTCGACAAAAACTATTTTACTTGAACAATCTTTATGAAATTCAATTAAACTTTTATTGTATTTCTTCAATTTTAACTGTGGCATTATGTGGCCACAATGCAACCGCTCCAACAATTTTGAGCATTGTTTTCCTTGGAAAGAGGAGATTTCTTGGTGGAATTGACCTTTTGATGCTATGGTGGGTAGTTGTAGCACATGTAATATCTCAGCAGCCATTAATATATGGTTTCACCATGGCATTGATTAAAAATATGCTGTTTTATAGCTTTTGGCTTTCATTTTGCCAAGGTTCATGAAATTTGGCCAATTTGGATATTAGTGCCAAAGAATGCCATAGGATTGCCACTGATATGTACCTGGAGCTCAGTCTGGTTAGCAGTCTAAGGTTTTGATACACCATTTATTGATACTTACATATATTTTTTATAAGTGATCACATAAGTAAACTTAATTTGTGCTGCCTAAGCTTATGGTGTTATTGAAAGTTGTAATTATGCTACGAGGCTAGAGTGTAGATTTCACACTACTAAACATGGAAAAATGGGAAAAGGATTTTCTTGCGCTAAAGCATTTTAATTTAGAAGCCTCATTTTCCTATATTACAATTTGGTACCATATTCTTTTAGTGAATATAGAAAATTCCTTGTTTATTAATGCCTTAGTGGTCTTCTTTTCTTGTTCTGCATTTGTTTTTCAGGACTTGCAGGTTAAATCTTCTCCACCAGTTCAGACCCCGACACCTATACACAATGATCCTGCTATTATACAGGTATGGTTTTATTCTCTCATTTGTCCATTTTCCTCTGTTTCTCCCCTCTTTTCCTTTATCTCCCTCTAAATTCTTTTTTCCCCATCCTTCCCATCCCTGTGCATCACTTTGCTTGACAAATTTGCATTTTGAGCTAGTCATTAGTCAACTTGTCTTACGCATGTTGGATTCCCTTCTTCTGCAGTCTCACTATCCCCAGTCAGCAATTGCATCCAGCAGCTTGCCTTCTTCTGCTTCAGGCTCTATACAAGATCCGGGTTCCCAAACTTCGTCTATAGGACTCACAAGACCAACATTTCAAGCCAATCTTCCATTATATCAACCTGGTGCAAGTTTAGGGCCATGGGGTTCATCAAATGCTCCAAATACAAATAGTGGGCTTTCCATGCCAATGTACTGGCAAGGTTACTATGGATCCGCAAATGGTCTTTCTCCTCGGCAGCAAACTTTGCTCCAACCCCCACCTGGCTTATCAATGCCATCTCCCATGCAGCAATCTATGCAACATCCAGCTATGAATGCGTCTTTACCTACTGCAGCTTCTAACATGCCAGGTTCTCAGTTACCTGAAAACGCTTCTCTTTTGCTGCCACCCTTTGGTACTGGCACTATGAATTTGCAATCTTCTGTTCTTCCAGCACAGTCTTCTAACGTAGCTTCAGACTCATTAACTAGTTTGAATCAAGATAGGGCTTCTTCTTTAACTCTTCCTACTGCAGCTCCAAGTAGTAGCTTGCCATTGGTTCCTCCATCAAGTATTGCTTTAGATAAAAGTGCTGTCATGTTGTCTTTTTCTGAAAAACCAAAGACAGTCCCTGATCCCGTGATGCCATTCAAAGGCATGCCTGATTCTGCTTCCTCCATCTTAGGGACAAGTTCAGTTTTAAATGATGGAATGCTTCCTTTAGTAACCCCAGGCCAGCTTTTACAACCTGGACTGGTCACAGCATCTTTGTCTATGTCTTCACAAACAGTTCAGAAGGATGTGGAGGTTGTTTACGTGTCATCTCCAGAATTGACATCAGCCCCTGCATTAGCACCTGTGCCTGCAAAAGCATCACAACCTATGTTAGGACAAGCACCACAATCATTGTCAGCACAGGCATCACCGCCATTATTAGCACAACCACCACCAAAAACAGAAGGACAGGAACCTATATTGCCTTCACCTTCACCCTCTGATCATAAGGTATTGCTTCTGTTTTGCAAAATGAAAGGGCTTTAAAATCTGAGGAACTTTGGTCCTGTGACATATAATGTTCTACTTTTTTCCTTTTTTTTGAGAGGGTTAGTGAGGATTGTGGAACATCGTCTTTTATCCTTTGTGTTCCCCCCACCCCTTCCAGGCATACAAATTACAACATGATTTTCGCCTACAAATTAA